GATATCTGGACCCCTTGTACCGAGACTGGTCACTCTGTGGAATGGGGTTTCAAATACGTTCACGAGTGGCCCCTGGTGTGACGTGCCGGTAACGTGTGCTCGTTGCGCGCTGTGAATGCGCGCAGCCGAAGTTACCCCACAGTGCTTTGAAACTTCAGGACTTCCNTTCACAACATTTGGTTATTGCTACTTTGTACAATTTTCTGGAGGAACGTTTCCCAATCTCTTGAAAAACAAACGTTTGGCAGACGTAAAAACACGAATACATGTGTTAGCAAACTTAAATTTCATCTGTTTCCACTCTAGGTTTTGGTCATCTCCTGCCACTAATTTTGTCTTAACATCCGGTTTATTTTCCTACAGTTGCTTTTTTTCCCAGCGCATTGTACCCTTCGGAAAAATGCACTTTATAAATGTTATTATCATTAAACGTGACGGTATTTATTTCAGCTTTTATCACAATAAATTAAGCAACAACATTGCTACAAGACCATGCAGGGAAGTGTAGTCAGGGCTGAGATGACAGTGCTTCATAGGCCCCGGGAACCAGCGTTGACTGTCCTGGCAACTTTGCGCTAACTTCAGAACGTTGGTATACTAGCATTGAAGCCTCGTAGTTCATGTTGAAATCGAGATGAACCGATATCACAGAGCTATTACTTAGGGAATAAATATGCATGTGCTTGGCAGGTCTTAAACGTGCTTGAGACTGGATAATGAGAATGGACGCGACTAATGCCCCAGCTGAGAGGGAATTATCAGTTTTCGTTCTACTGAGCAAGGTCTTAAACGTTAGTTTAAGACCAGCCAAGCACATATTTATTCCCATGCATAAATACTTTTTTATTCAGAGAGTCAACAGAAGCCAACATACGATGGGTTTCCAACGATTTTGTTCGAAAATTTTACTTCCATTTCCCAAACACCCCCGTCCATTTTATGGTATATTCCTTTTGAAAGTTGTCCAACAGAATCCCCTTCAATGAACTTGGCGCGCGCGTGGCGCGTCGCGTGGACACAGACTCCTAGCCAATCGGACCCAATAAAATTGTCTCGTATCCTTGTGCCAGCGTGGCCAGTCCTTATGTGTTTAATAACACACCTCAATCTGGAAAAACATTATTTCAGGGTTTTAACTGTCTAATTCAACTTTCAATAGCACTTCAAAAGTTGCAAAAAACTGAAGGTTTATTTTAGTGTCCCTAGACGCTGTTTAATTTTTAGTTGCTATACTCAACAAGGAAAAGAATTCTTCCAGGGTTTGAACTGTTTCAATTCAGGACAACCCCCAGAGGGCGCAATAACTAATCAAACTTTTTCAAGACTAGTACCTGACCCACGTCCGTGACCTGACCGGGCACTAGTCTTTGGAATCGATGCGCACGCAATGTCTAGGCGCGTGTGAGTCACACTGACGCCAAATTCATCTATAGCCCATATTAGTGAACCACACGTGACCTTATTTTAGCCAACCAGGATAAAGAACCAGAAAGTGTTATAACATATGTTAATAGGCGGTCAAGTAGCACGTTGTTGAATGGGGATACTGTCTGTATTTATGAATACTATAGGTCTATATAATCCTATGAGTGTGAGTATAATACCAAACCTTTGTACTGTAACTAGTTTGAAAGATGTCAGAGATCGAAAATACAAAGAGTGTTTTTCGTGGATTCTAGACACGATGCCTACTGCGCCTACTGCTTGATTGCATCATCGATTCATAAACCTTACTCCAGCTGTTTATAGATGATGGAACAATTACAGCCCCATCCTGCTGACGGTCTGAGCGCTGTGTTTTTTAGTGTTTAAGAGGGTAAAGTAATTTAGTAATTCCACACCACTATGTGAATCGCATTCACCAAGTAGGCCTACGTCATCTGGACAGAAATCAGTAAAAAAAAAAAATGATGCAGGCGTAAACTGCCGGGGGACGGGGGTATGCCCCTCACCCGTCGACCGGGGATGATCTTATGAAGCATCTCCCTCGCTTGTTTATGGTTAGAAAACAATGAAGACGGTTTGTGAAGAATTCTGGACTCCCCAACAACAAGAATGTATTCAAAGCACACAAAAGGGGGAATTAAAAAAAAAAGAAGCCATAACTAGGCCGCTTTGATGTAAGGTTCTGGAAGAGTCTACGTGTAATACACATAACTATGTACATTTGTATCATGAACATCGCCCCCTTGCCCCTTGTGTCATAAGGTGTCCCCCCCTCCATGGCCTGACCCCATCCACAACCCCAGACCCATCTGCCTGGCTCCAGGCACAAATTTACTCCTGTGGGTGCACCACTACAAAGAAATTCCCATAGACTGCAATGATAAATCCCCACACTTTGCAATAATTTTAAAAATACGCACAACTCTCACAGATGTCCCCTTTCATTTTCCTT